TGGTGAGCCTGGGCTTAAAGATGCTCTCCTTCCTCTGGCACTGTCTGGCATGTCCAGACTGTTGCATATGTTGTCTTTTTAGTGTGTTTTTGCAGCTCATTTCACTCCAGTGAGCATTGGGTGGTGGTGGAGGTGCTGGAGATATCTCTGGCATGTGGCTGGCAAGGAGGCTGCTCTGGGACCCTCTCTTCCTGGGATATCGCGGTGCAATAGGGAGGGAGAGGGCTGTAGGGGTGGTTGGGAATAGTGGGGCAGCCTGGCTGTGCCTTGCAGGGTGTTGGGACCCTGCTGGCTGCAGATCCACCACCACATTCCCCTGGGGGCCGCAGGTGAACTCCCTGATGTGCTGGGGGGCAGTGTGCTGCTGGCAGCGAGGGCGAGCATCTTTGCTCTGTGCTTTTTCATGGCACACCCCAGCTGGAAGGAGAGCTAAGGAGTGCAGACACACCAGTATGTCTTTCAAAGTGTAAAAAAAAAAACAGAGCTGGAGTTTGGCCACTTCGGGTCCCAGGTTTGTCATCCACCCCGTGCTCTAATTGCGTTAAAAGTGAGCATCTCAGGGGCTGCCAGAGACTCCATTTTCATATTGCTTTGGCTGGGTGCTCTCCTTTTTACTTCCAGTTCTGCTTTTGCTAAGTGCCTGCAAAACAAATTAGAGCAAATATTCCCTCATCAGGGCAACGCTTTTTAATTCACTGAGCCTATTTGTTTGTACATGTTAATGCAGCCACCTACGTTGTGCTGCTGGGGACCTTGAGGGAAGGCACAGAAGCACGGGGGTCATTAGGAAATTTAATTTGCTGGTTTATCAGCCGTCTTTCATTCGTCCTGGTCCCTTGGATTCAGGAACAGAGGAGAATGGCATGAACTTATGTTCAGCACAACATTTTAAATATCCCTGCAGTAAAAAAGAGCTGGTGTTTACCTCTTTCCCAGCTCAAAGTAAAAGTCAATGTACAATTCCTGTGCATTATCCTGGTGCGGTGCTTGAGGCTGGAGGACTCCTGGGATGCAGAAAGACTTTTAACAACCTCTTTGGGTCACCGGACTCCTCTCATCTCCTCCTCGTCCACAGGAAGCTGCTCCCAGGTCTGCTGGGCACTTAAAATCTTAGGAAAAAATGCTCATCTCTAACCAGTGAGACAAACTGCCCAGAAAAACAGATATGGGAGGAAATTTAAATGGTTCATGTAAACATTTTCCAAGGAAGGTTTTGATTTTGGTTAATCAGCCAAGAAATTGCCTGTCAGCACAATTCCTCAGCTTGAGGTCCTGGAGATCCACCACTTGCTGCTGGGTTGTGCTAGTGCTCTCTGTCCCAGAGAGGCAGTATTTTGGAGCAGCTACTTCTGCAAGCGAGCTGGAGCATCCTGCCGGCTTACCTTTCTGTAGTGAAGTAAAATCCAAGTGCAGACTCTTTAATAGTTGGGTCCTGAAGCATTTAAGCCTCAGTATTTGGGCCTCAGGGTATTGTGAATAATATCTACAGGGTGACATCAATGCCCGTCCTTAGAAATAATAGCAAAGGAGGAATATGAAAGCACAAGTGGATGTGCCTGCACATACCAACGCCTTCATTCTTAGAGTTAGTTAAGAAAAATACCTAGGGAAATGTAAATCAGATATGGATAAAGCACTCAGCTGAGAAAGTACATTGTGCACAGCTGGACCAACCTGCACCAGCTGGGCAAGTCACGCTTTCCATAATTGTGCATTCACCTTACTGTTTTTAATGAGTTTTCCCCCAACACTGCACAGGGATACTTGCAAGGTGTTCATCATATTGTTCTTAGCTGGAGACCTGGATCCTTTCCCTGCTTTTTTACCTGACGGTGAGCAGCCCAGAGCAGTCAGTTACAAGGGATGTGTAAAAGCTGAGCGAGCTGCTGCGCCTGCAAGAAACAGAGCAGTTGGCACAGCCGTGCCATGGTGGGTGCCCAGCAATGACCTGGTTCCCCTCTGGCCCTTGGTCGAGTTGATCTGAGCACATTTAGGTCCACCAAGTCCTGTTATTTTATTACTGAGACACCAAATCCACCGGTTACCTGAGAACAATCAATTTAGTTGTAGTTGCTCTGGTCTAGTTCAGGGAGCTCTGTGACTGTTATTACAGGGGACATTTCACCACTGCCCAAACCTCTGTTTTTTGTGGTTTCACTTAGCATGGGTTGGGCTGATCTCTGAATGTTTCAAGCCCACCTTTTTTTGGCAGATCTGCTGGCAGAATATGAGAGCAATGGCTCCCAGATGGGCCCGAGAGCCTTGATCAGCATTTCACCTCCATCAGCGTGTGCTGGGACATTTTAGTGCAGCTGGGTACCAACACACATGAGGATGAGGTGTCCTGGGTTTGAGCTGCTGCTGGGACTGAGCCTGCACCACCTGCCCCACGGCTGAGGGTTTGGGTCATGTCCTGCGTGAACCAGGGGGTCCTGGGCAGGGCACGGCTGCAGCTCTCTGGAGCAAGACCTGATCCCCTTCCAGTGCAGCAGGGACAGAGCTTGCTGCTCGCTTCACATGTCGGAAGCAAGCTCTGCCTTTATCACAGCCTGACATGAGGAGTGCATCAGATATGTTGTCAACCCCCCGGGGAAGTTCCGTGAACAATGAGTGCAGCGCTGCTTAACCCCTGCCTCCAAGCCAGATAAACCCTCCTGCTATGAATTTCACATTAAAAGATAAACCACAGAGCTCTCCCACATATCAGGGAAAGCCGTGACTTAACTCAGTGCTCTGCCTTGTATGAATTGCCCACTGCATCTCCTCAGGTGTGCTGCTCACCCATCCCATGTCAGTCTGATGCTACCCCAGGGCCAGTGTTTGCTCAGAGAGGGCTCTCATTATGAGCTCTTCTGGAACAAACGCTGTTTTTTGTTGTTGTTGTTAGTTTGTCTGGTTTTTGCTTGGCTTCTGATTTCACGGGTTTTATTGATTTTTCGGTCACACAGAGAAGCAGGCTCCCTGCCCCAGGTGAGCACAGAAGCTGCAGCTTTACACCACAAATCCTGCAGCTTGCTTCCTCAACAGATAATTCCGCACCTGTAAAAACATCGGCTGCTTTGTGCCTCTTTATTGTGTTTGTGGGGGGAAAAACAGAGCCCCCTAGAGCTTTCCAGCGTGGGTTTTCAGAGCAGCTGATGGTGTTACACCATCACTTCCACAGGATTTCTTTTAGCTTCTGTGCATCCCCTCAGTCCACAACGAGGCTCCACACTGCTCTACTTGAAGGCACCAATATTTCAGAAAAACATCGTTATTCCTCTCCCCACTCACAAGGGTGTCAGGTCCCGACCCAGTGCTTGCTGTGCTGCCCCATGAGTGGGGTTCAAGAAGCACAGGGGTGCAGCCAGGGCCAGCTTTGCCCAGGCAGATGGACCCGCAGGAGAGCAGCACTGATCTTCCCGTGGCATAGCGGGTTAATTTGGCTCCATCTTCTGCTGGCTTTGCAGATATGCGCCTGCTTTTTAAGAACTGCAAGCCTGGCAATAACTGCTGTTTGGAGAAATAATTGGACATATGTATGGTAGGAAAGGAATTTAGTGTGTTAAACACACAGATACCAACCCTGGCTTGGGAACACCCTGAGCAGGGGCTGCTGCCAGCATGTGGGTACGGCCGATGTGCTTCCTGCTGATCCTGACCCCTGCTGAGGGGGTCCTGGGGTCCAAGACCCTGGGTAGAGCCCAACACAGTTTTTTTTACCATGTGTTTTGCTTAAAGCCCTTGGAACAACATGGTTTCCTGAAACTGCCACCTGGGTTTAAAACTGAATTCATTTCTATCTCTCCTGCCAAGAAGAGCTGGGAAATACTACTCCTTAAGCTGTGGAGGAGTGAAAAATATTTCAGTGTTCAACGGTTTTTAAGCCAATATCATGAATTTTGGTGTCCTTCCGTGGCTCTTGAGCACTGTGGCCTCGGCAGCACAGCCTGTGAAGAGCTTTCTTGTGGCGAGCCCGGCTCTGATGCAGAGGGCAGCGTGCTGTGCCTCTGGAGGGTCAGCAGTCCCTGCTGTGCTCCACAGCAGCATCCCCATTCCTGAGACCACCCAGAGAAAACAGGACTTGTTCCCTGCCTCTATCAGTGCCTCCAATCCCACACCTTGAGGTGTAGGAAATGGCGGGGCCTGCGGCGTGCTGGTGGCAGCTCCCTCCTGCTTTGGGCTGACCACTCCCTTTCTGCCAGCCCTTTCCAAGCACCCGCAGCTCTGCCCATCATTTCTGCCAGCCCCACGCCATGCCCAAAGCCAGGTGCCACAGGGGGCTCAGTGCCCTCCCCAGGGTCCCAGCACCCCAGGCTGTGACGGGGAGTGGGTGACAGGGAAAGGCCTGGAAGCTCTGCAGCTCCCGGCCCACTGCGTCAGCAAAAACCATCGCTATCTTCGAGCTCGCTGCCTGCCAGCAGTGTAAATATTTTCTGAACGAGCTGGAAGGAGGAGGGCTGGTGAATACATTTTTGCAGGAAAATGTTACAGAGCTGGGAACAGGGACTTCTGAGCACCCCCTTATCTGTGCTGGCTGAGAGGGGCAGGCAGGGGCTGCAGGCTGGCAAAGAGAGCCTTGGCCTTCTGTATCAAAATGAAGGATTTCAGCCACCTGCTCCAAATCCCAACATTGGCACACCTTGTAGGTATTGTTCAGTGCTGCTTTTCCTCACCCTGTCCCAGCTGATGCTGTTGTTAGCTTTGGCACCAGGAGGGGCGGCTGGGAGCATCCCAAAAGTGTGTGGGGGCAATGGAGCTTCTCAGTGCCCCAGTGTGCCATGAGAAAAAAACAAAAACAAACAAAACAACAACATGATCCCATTTAAAATCGCCACCAAAACCCTAACATAACGGCAAGAGCACTGTAACAGCTGAGACTTCCATCACGCTTGGTGCTTGCTGTTGTGGGGAGGGGGTGTTTAAGCTGTCTTGCCAAGTTAAACTACTCAATAGAAAAAGATTTGTTAACAGAGTATTAAAGCATTTGTCTCCTAATTGCTTGTTTAGATGCAGCTTGGAGGGGCAGCAACTGCAAATCCTTCCCAGCTGGTGGCTCCGTCACTGCTTTGTGAGTTTAGGAGTCCCCAGAGCACAGGGATTCAGGGGCCAAGAGGCACTGGTGCAGATTTTAGGCTGGAGGGGACCTGGTGGTAGCATCCCACCTGCTGTCTGGGGGTGTCACCTGCCTTGGGGCTGTTTCGGGGTATGTTTCTGACACTTTTGCCCCCTTTATTACTCCTCTCACTCCTGCTTTGTGCTCTGCAGCTCTCAAGGAGCAGCTCTAGCAGGAGCTAGGACTCAGGTATCAGCTGCAGTGCCAGCACAAGCCTAAAAGTGGCTTTGTGAAAGCATCCTGCCTAAAATGTACATGTCCTGGGGGAAGTATGTGCTGGGAAGCTGTATAGATAGGGACCGAGGGAATGTAGAAGTGGTCTCCAAAGGCAGCAGATGCTCAGCATCACCTCCCTGGTGGTCCCCAGTTCCCTCTACCAAAGAATGCAGGGCGCTGTGCCTGGGCACCCGCTGTAAAACCATCCCTTCTGGGGTGTGAGGGCTTCTCCAGCTCGTATTTGTGTGCTGCTGTGAGGGCAGAGCCCAGGGCTGCCAGAGGAAACCAAACATGGCAGCATGAGGAGGCTTTCGGCCCGTCTGATCTGCCCGATGAGATTTCTTCCTTTTGTTTTGGTCTTTAAAAAGAAACATTTTATCCGTGTTTTTGTCTATATTCGGTGTAATCAGATCACCCCCTCCACCGAGGCTCATTTCCTGCCGCTGGGTACATTGAAGCTATTATTATTTGTTTTTCCATGGGCCTCTCTGTTTCTAATTACTTTTCGCTGATGTTATGTGAATGTGTTGAGTCTGTGCCACCCTTAGTACCTGCCAAATGCTGGCTCTTCTACACGCAGTAGTGCCCCGACACATTTCCAGACATTTCCTGCTATTAGTTACCTCCATTTCTGACCTTACTACTTGGGGATGTGTGATTAAAGATAATTTCTGATGGGCCAAAAGGGCAAGTGGGCAGAAAGCATGCAGGATGCAAGGACGTTTAGTGATAGTTAAGTTTGGTGATCATTTCTTTCTCTCTTTTTTTTTTTTTCTTTTTTTTAATGGAACTCAATGAGAGTTTTGCTGCACTAGAGATAATACTGCAGAAAAAAATATATATATATAACTCTATATGCTCATATATAAATAGCTTATGTGGAGCTGCTACTGCTGCTCTGTCAGCAGCTGCTTAGCTCTTTCTCTTAGAAATCTCCACTTCATTTTTTTTATTTGCCAAACATTAACATCTTCCACGTGCAGGAGGTCTTTCCTAAAACAATTTTATTTGGAAGAGCCCAGCAGAAATGTTTTTTAAGAAATGAAAGGGGGAAACATTTATCTTGAAGGAACGGGGGTGAAAATTACACACATAACATATGTATAATTTCATCTAAATTAAAGTCATTTAAGACTTACAGTGCAATTGCACTCCCAAGCTGCAGGCTGAGGGCTTTTCAAGCTGCTCGGGATGCTCTCCCTTTCACCACAAAGAACAGAATTAGCAATTTAGCAGCAGGGTCCAGCTGGAGACAACACCTGGCAGCTCCCTGGCCACTGAGCCAGCACAGCAGAGCTGCCATGCTCGGCAACTTGGGTGCTGTCAGGGGACAGACACTAAAATGTGGTTTTTTTTTTTAATTGTATTTTTTATTTTTTTAAAGCTAAACGTGATTCTAATCTGGATTATTTTAATGAGCTTCCTTATGTGAACAACAACAGGCTCTGCTTCCTGGCCTGCCACCTGCATCATGCCTGGCCTCTTCAGCTGTGGAACAGGTGAAATTATGAAAAAAATCATTAATTTCCAGGTTTTTCTAAGGTTGTCTTCTTGTCTGTGCAATTCACATTTTTTCATTATTATTATTATTTTTTTTTCCCCCATGAAACCCCAAGGAAGAAAAGGAATTCCTGGACTCCATCCTCACTGCAGGTAAGCTCGGTGACTAATACAACTCTCACAAGCACTTCGGCATTTTTTCTCAAAAGCTAGCCATGAAATAAATTGTCCTGCTCCAAATCCCAGGTGTTGTTTTCCTATCTTTTGTCTAATGATAATGTGTGCCTGTTGGGCAATGTAACTACACACTGCTTTGAAAGGACGGAAAGATAACAAGGCAGCATGATCCTATTAGCTTTGATTTTGTTTGTGGTTGTTACATTTAATCTGCACAGTTTTGTTGTGTCAGCCCACTTTAAAGGGTGTACTATCACATAAAAGCACAACTCTGAAAAAACAGGTGGAGATGTATTTTGAAACACAATTGTTAGTCACGGTATTTGTTGCTTAACTAAATCAGTGCAGCAAAGAAAACAAACTGTGGTTGTGTTTTATTTTTCTCAACTACTTGCAGCTTGACTATGAAAAACAATGCTGCTGCTTCAATGCAGTGTCAGCTTCCAATCCTGTAATCACTTCTAAAAAGCATTAGCAGCTTTTTCGGTTTCCAGTAAAGCAAGCACATGGCCACCTTCAGGTGCTTTAAAACCAACAGAGAGGATTCTGTGCCTAATGTGAAGTGGTTCACGGCTATTTGCAGGAAGCAAAAGAGCAGTACGTGTTTAAAGGGCAGTGATAAACAGTATTCTAGACTCCTCCAGTGTAAGTCTACGTTTATTTGACACAGAAGCCTTGAGAGAACAGTGCCTGGAAGCTGGCAGTCTGCAGGCTCAGCACCTGGAACAGCCATAGGTGCTGGCAAGGTAAGCTTTGTGCTCAAACAGAAGCAGCAGACAGCCCAGGTGACACGCTTGCTGCCTGCCTGTGGCATTTTCTCTGACCTTAAATGATCTTCTACAAAAAAATGAAGTTCCAAAGCAGCACTCTGGTATGGTCCAGTTCCCTAGCTCAGGGGCAGGACTTCAGGTGTTTTCTTCAGGTGTTTCCACTGAAGTAAAGCTCAACATGCAGGACCAATGAAATAATTAGCACTGCAGCCAGTTACATATCCTGCTCCCTTACTTCTGCTGGTTCTAAAACAGAAAAATTAAGAGAAAAAAACAAAGTAGTGATTACCCCAGTAGCTGTGGTTCAGCTGCTGTATCCTCTTATCTCCCTTGGCCCTATTTCAGTAACAGCTGTTCAAGCAAATTGAAAAATGACAAACGAGACCCCAAGGCCTTTGACGACATTTATCTCCCCTTTCTGTACTTTTCATTTACATTTAGGTAGCACCAGAGGGTGTCATGTGGCTGTTAATGCATTGCTTTGTGCTTTGGCAACTCTCTAGGCTGTCTTAAAGGTTTGCCTGCAAAAACAATGCTGGAATAATCAAAAGCTCACGAGGAAATTAAATTCAGTAGGCAGGCTTCAGCTTAAACTAGCAAACTTGTTCAAGCAGAAAGTTCAGAATTACAGCCCATATGCATCCCTGTTCTACATTAAACAAACGTGGCATTATTAATTCCACAGTTAACTCTACCTAAAACCCCTGTTTCTGCCTCCAGGTGTTTGAAAGCCCACTCTACATGGCTGATCCAAAGGAACTGGCTGCCTCCTAACAGCCTTTGAGTAAATTCAACATTGCACTGGAACCCAATTAATCATTCTCATTACCACAAGCCTACTCCCAGCTTCATAGAAATGAATATGTATGCAATAATTATTGCAACTGCAGGCTCACAAGCACTTTTTTTGGTAGTGAAAAGTAATCAAATTTCTATTACATGAACCTATGAACCAATTCCAAATGTCTGGAGTGACTTAGTTCCAATGCAGAACAAGACACTTATATTAGGATTAAACAAATAGTCCCCAAATTCAAATATAAGAACTATAAAATACATGATCATCAAAGTAGAAATACCTACATGGATTTAATGGGGTCATTTACTGCCTTTAAAGCACACTTCATTGCTTCCTTTAATATTTGTTTTAGGTAGGTGCTGGTTAATGAGATTTGTCTCTGTCCTTACACGTCAGTTACAAGATTTGTTAGCTAGATTTGTATTTATTTGTTATACTCCCATTTTACTTGTGGTTAGTTCATAGGAATACCACAGCCAATTAATGAGTTGGACAAATCACATGGAAATAAAGCCTTGTTCTGTTAAAACATTTAAGGTTTTTTAATACTTAAAAATATACTTTTATTAAACATTGCATCAACTCCACGTAAGTTAAACAAACAGCTGGTACTTTTACTCACAAAAAGCTCTAGCATGATTTGTACAAATATGATTAAACGATGAAGATGTCCTACATTTTTACTGGGTGAAGGGCTCAGTTCTGCTTTTCCACCTGGACTTTCATGGATGCCATGCTGAATAGCCCTCACTTCTGGCAATAAAAATAGAACTGCAAATCAAATGATTCCCCCTGCTGTCCTGCAATTATAATGCAAGAAAAAGGCTTGAAAACTAACCACGCTCTGTCCAACAGAGTACAAATTCTTTATTCACCAATAAGTTAAGTGTTCTCATAAATAGATGTTCTATTTTTTTTGTACACTGTAGTAAGTATAAAGGTAAGCTTCATCATTCCTCGGATTCTGATCCTTCTTCATCTTGACTGATTTGGAAGTAGCGTAGCTCGTACGTCTCCTTGTCAGATGCAACCACGCGAAGCCAGTCACGAAGATTGTTCTTCTTGAGGTACTTCTTTGTGAGGTATTTCAGGTACCTTAGGAATATTAATTATACGTTAGAACTTTGTCATTTCGCAATCCCTACTGCAATTTGAACTCCACCCAAGACATGGTCTATCGGGGCAACAATGCAGCCTTTACATGCTGAATTTTTCAAGGAGTGACTCAACACACTAATTACATCAAGAAATCAAGAATCACCACGTGTAATAGGTAATAAACCTACATCTTCATTCCTGATATATTAAAACTTATTTTTTGCATTTTGACTGAATAACTCAAGGCCAGTTAACTCCAGAGCACTAAGAAGTAGCTCTAAACCATGGTTTAACACAACAAATACTGGGACATTGATAACAGAAAAGAGAAACGGGAGTGTGGGGAGGGAACTGTACGCTTAGATCAGTGTAGAGATCTACTGCGTGCCCTAGCACACTAGGCAGATCAAGGCCTCATTTGACTCTAGGGCTTCTCTTGCCACAACACACACTGTGTACACGTAGCTTTTAGAATCGTTACGCCATGAGCAGGGCCCCTCCCACCAGCCCAGGCTGCCCAAAGCCCATCCAACCTGAACACCTTCAACACTGGGGCATCCAGTGTCTCCCCACCCATTTTAACACAGCTAATTAATAAACCGGCACCCATGATATGAATTCAGCTGTGACCTTAAAAGCATGCCTTTCCTCATTACACTTTTAACAAACTATATAAAGTCCTTCCATATCAGTATGTCTGTATTAGAGAAGCATTGCTTTGCAGTTAAGTCCTGAGCTTTAAGAAACATTTTTAATACCTGATCTTGTAAACCTGTTTGAACTATCTCTCACTAATATCAACGTGTGTTATGAAGATCTAAGCCAACACCTTCTTTATACACACTTAAAATGCGTCAGATCTAACAAAACAGTGTTTAAAACCCACAAACAGAAGGCAGACCTTTTAGAAAACTGCTTCTCAGATGTCACCGTGATCTTGTTCTTCAGACGCTCAATGTGAACAGTGTTCCCCAAGTTTCCTGTTTTTCCATTGACCTTAACCTTCTCCTTTAGGAACTGTTCCTGTTTCAACAGCAGAGAAGAAGTAGAACACTAGGGAATGGCACCCTAGGTATGAACTAGGGAAGGGACCCTAGCCATGGAGCAACGTTAAAAATGACTGTAATAAATGTCTACAATGCAATAAAACTTTATTTACTTATTTTGAATTGCACACTGTAAAAATAACCACATTAAGAAAGGATTCCATTTAAAATCCATGAATAGGTTTAAAAAGTATCTATAAACTAAGCATAAGCCCAGGATCCTCTCAAACCCCGCTGATTAATAGAAGAATCGTTAATTTCGCCGCTCCCCAGCCGCCGCCCGGCCGCCCCACAGACCGAGGCCTTCGCCACTTACAAAGTTGCCGGAATCGAAGATGCCATCTTCGACAGGGTGGGTCAAATCGAGGCAGAATTTCCACGTCGCCTTCTTCGCCTTCCTGTCCTTTTGCTAAAACCAATAAATAAATAACAAATCAGCACCGACCTCACCGAGCACGCCGCGGCCCGCAGCCCCCCCCCGATGCTCACCTGCCCCATGCTGCCCCCGCCGCGGCCTCCCGCCGAAAGGCCGGCGCCGAATCCGCTCCCTCCTTTTATAGCCGGCCCGACGTCGTGACGTAGCACGCAGCGCGGGACCGCGCGCCTGCGCGGGCGGGGGATGCTGGGAGGGCGGGGCTGGGCGCGGCCCCTGAGGCGGTGTCCCCGCACCCCCCTCCCCCCCGTGACAGAGCACTCTGAGGCGCAGCGCAGCGAGTCACCTTTTTATTGAAATTGCCACTAAAACAGCAACAACAGCGCTTCTGCCTCGTGTACAATCCCAGGCCGAGCTGCTCGAGCGTTAATAAACAGTGTTCGTCACCCGGCAAGCACAGGGGCCGGCCAGCAGGGACAAGGCGCCTGACAGAAAAGCTGCAAACACCTCAGAACCACCCAACGGCACCGAAAATGCCCAAACTGTGCCCAAATCTCACCCAAACCAACACAGCCCGTAACCACAAGCACCCCACCTCACCCCCAGCCCTGTAACAGCAAGCACGGCTCAGCTCCCCCACAACACCGAGATCTTTTTTATTATTTCTGGAGCAAAACAGACACTGACATTTCCCACCCGGTTGGCGGTGCAGTATAAAACAACGCTTCTGCTAAAACAAACACGGGGAGCCGGCACCACGGGGACACACGTTCCCTCAGGTGACGGCTCTGACAGGGTTTGGGTCCCCCAGAACCAGGGGACACCTCCCCACGCTCGCGCCAGGGCACGGTTACAACACACAGCACATTTAGGAGGGGGTTCAGCAACACAGCAAACATCGAGGGCAGCTCCCACGGTGAGTTATTCCCGCAGCCAGACACCGTGGGGCCGGACCAGAGGTGGCGAAGAGGCTCCGAGGGTCCCGGCACGCCGAGCCGCTGCTCCATGACACCCACAGGAGCCGAGCCTTCGGTGGCTTCCCAGCGTGAGACGTACAACAGATCCTTTACGAGGTCTTTTTATCCTGAAGTTTAATTCTACTGTAACAAACTACGTTCTAATTAACCAAAGAAAAGTGGGATTTTATTGATTTTTGAGTTCTGTAAGACTGACCTGCAGTAACCATAAGAGTTTCAACTGTCAACAAATTTGACTTCTTTACAGATTCTGTAAAATTACCTGTATTGTGAAGCTACAGACTGTGCACCATTTCTTGGTACGTTATGGGTTAGAAAAACCTGCAAGAGGCTTGAAAGCAGTTACATTAAAACAATGAAGTTCAGCTAACTCCTTAAAAAAAAACAGCCCTGAGAACATGGCTCAACTAGCAAGAGCCTAGTTGAAAAACCACCATTATAAGCAAAAAGTAGAAGGATCTATTGAAATCTTGAAATATTATGTGCCAACATTTGAGGCAGGAAACACTGCAGTCTTTCCAATTCTGTAAAGTAGCATGAGAAACTCAATGGATTGGAGCCATAAAAAAATGCATCGTTATTTGGAGTGGAAATACTTTTCTTTGCTTCCTAGTCTTCTCAGCCTTTATTTTAAGCAATTGCAGCAGCTTATAGCTTTCCGTTTTGACACAATTTCTTTTAAAGTGTTAAAGACAGTACTACAAAACAAGTAGATGGATAACGTTTGTTTTAAAGTAAAGCTATGAAAGAGGAGTTTCCCTAAGCATTTGGTTAGGAACCTTACAAATACGCATCTAGATGGACTACTGATCACAAGCAAAGTTTGTTGCAAATTATTCTGACAGCAGACAGACACCTTGTAAAAAAAAAAGTCTCAGAGATTTGTTCTAATTTAGAAGCAACGTTCAACCTTACTGAAACTTGGAGGTTATACTTAAGACTCATGCTTATGTATTATTACCTATGGGAAACTTCATGCATGACAAACCAATGCTACGCACTTCCGTAGTGTTTGAAGTGCTTCACAAAAGACAACTAAGTATATAAGAACAAACCTATACTGAAGTACTGAATCATTTAAGTCTTGCAGAACTGAAGGTTGCAATAGGACATCCTGAAGTCCCAAGGAGGGCTCTTCCAGCAAGCTGGAGGCCATAAAACCTTGATCTTTAGATTGCTGCAGTACCTGAAAACTCCATCCAGACCAGAAGCCCACTTGTATAAACAGGTTAAAAAACAGCCCAGAGAACTTACAGTCTAATTAAATACCTAGACTGTGGGCCGGTGGCATCAAATACCTGTCTTCCAACAAGGTTTCTGGGGACTGACAGGCACCTGAAAGTGGACTAAAGCCCCACCACAATGAGAGCAAATCCAAGTCTTGTAGACTTTAAGCATTTTTAGAAGCATTTATAGCACAGTAACAGCATTAGAGCTTGCCCTAGTATGACACAGCAACCTCTGACTTCCTGTGTGACAGCTGATCACAGAGATCAGCCTGCTGTTAAGACCACGATCAATGGTTTAGTCACCTCCAAACCCTACAAAGCCTGTCCCTCAGATACCAGTGATGGAGGCAGAAAGGAACATAGCACAGACTAACTTAAACTCTTAAGCATGTCTTTAGAAATTGCTCTGAATTCCTTTCCATCTCTTGCTTCCACTGCTTTTTTTTTTAAAAAAACTATTTTGTCACTTCAGTCAAGGCGCTATTTGTAGAGTTCACCTGCAGCGTGCATTGTGCTAGGCAAGAGCACGTGGCACTATCTGACTTCTGCCAGGTGTCCCAGGTAACTGTGCTTCATTACCGGAGTATGTTTATTTATTGCTGTCTTTACCTTCATTGAACTGCTCTCCCTGTCCTAAGAAGTCTATGAAGGACGCATGTTTTTGCCACCTATGTTAGACTTCCGAGGTTTGCTCAGCCCTACCACACTACGTACGAGGGCTGTTCAGGACAGTTGCCGTGAGCCCTTTGGGGATTAGAGTACATACTATTAAGCCAAGAACATTTTAAGAGGTTAACAGCAGTGTGAAGTCTGACTCTCACTGCCTATAGTTTGAATCACGCCGGCTGCCCAGGGCAGCATGCAGCGTGTTTACAAGTTGTCCTCCATCTGCTAACAGCTGCTGAAGCTTAAGGCAAGTCCACGAAACAGTTTACCCACTGTAAGGGAAGGTTTGAGCCATGGGCTAAGAAGTTTCCCACTCATGAAGAGTCAGTAAGTCTTAGAATTGAAGCTGAATGCCATAAAGAGGAGTATGCTAGTTATCCTGTGACTAGTTCGGAAAAGCTTTGCGTTTGCCTATTAAGCTAGTAAATAGAGGCATGCATGTGTTTCAATGACTCCTGTGGATAGGAGCTTTCTAAACTATGTAGCAACTTGTTTATTTTTCTAGTTAAGCCACGGTTGTTCAGTATTGTCTGTCAAGTCTATATTTTAGAAATACAATAATTCTATTTTTTTTTAAAAAGAATCACATGCATTTAGTTTAGGCTCGATGCTACAATTTGTCCCACTTTTTGAAAAACATGTGGTACTTGTGCTACAAAAATATGGTCTGAACCTGAAGATTAAAACCTAAAGCTGGAAGCACTGCAACAGATTCCCATGGAGTTTGTCACCCTTTTATACTTTAAGATAAATACAATAAAGGAAAGCAATTGAACTGCATTTTTCTATTTTTTTTTCAAGTCTGACAAAGGCCTCGAGTGAAAGTCTATAGCTTTAGCATCCATTCTCACCTTTGTGTCCCCTTGACCTATCTATGTCTTATCTACCCTATACTCCAACTGCCTGCCTAAACCACAGGTAGGCTTTGACACCATTTTAACATTACAATAAGCCAACGAGTTGGCAAAGAAGAATACAGAGGTAATACAGTTAAGTTGCACATGGCCACTGGGGCTTGGTCAAGCCAGCTGGCATTTTTGATCACTTGAGTTTCTTGGTCTAAAATTTGTGATTGGCACCTACAGTTCTGCAAGAGTCCCAATCCACAAAATACTTAAGCTTTAAAAAAAAAAAATTGCTACTTTTTATTGTCAGTTCTATCTAAACATGTCAAGAAAAATACTATTTGTGCTCTAGGTCACTTTATAATCCTAGATACCTACTAGCTTATCTAAAAGCCCCTGAATACTGGATTTTGTCTGTTCATACAGACAAACACTGTTTTGCTCAAGCAAATAAAAATATATCCACTAGTAACACCTGATTGGTTTCTTAGATCCATAGCTGAAACCCACAGGAATGTTAAAATAGTTACAATTAGGAAATTAAAGTCTCAGTGATTTTGAAAACTGCCAGTTAGCCTGCAACACTAATCCAGAATCCAGCACTGCTTTTTAACAATTCAAAAAAGAAATGAGGTTGCTTGTGAAGGCCAGAGCTTTGGTGACAATCAGAACCAAATTTAAAGATCTGTGGTTTGTCCAGACCTGAGCAGTTGCCCGGGGCTGGCGATCCTCTTTATTTGCAAGGCTTTATGGCTACAGCACATTCTTCATTCATTGCACTTATGACGGATATCTGGAAGAAAAAGACAAGCAGGTGAGTTCCAACCCTTGACGGAAGAACTGCTCCTAGAAGTTCACACCATCGGATGTTCACGCCATCATCTATATCCCACCTTTCATTTGAGAAGAAAGGATGCTGAAGCTGGCAAAATTAGCAGATGAGACTATTGTAAATTTATAATCAAAACAAAATTGCTTTCAGCAAAAGAGCCAGCACTGAAGCTTTTGACATCTAAGGTACTACACTATTTCCTTCCAAACAAGCTAGCCCTTTACAGTGCAAGACCTAAGCATATCAAGGCTTGTTTTCAGCTTTAAGCTGTTTCTATAGCCCAGATTACATCAAAGCTTTACACAAGCAGTGGAAGCTCCAATTTACACTGCATGGACAGCGCTGTTAGGACTTATCTGGACGTTTGAAACCCCCATATCACTTCACTGTAAACTGAGCCAGGTTTTGGTGCCTTATCAACTGCTCCAACACAGAATTACTTCCAAGGAACCTCAAAGGACCAATTCCCATACTTCTAACCCTCTCTTCACGAAGAGATACAAATGGTTGATATTAGAATATGAGTTCTTCATTGTACAGTCAGCGCAATTAACCACAGCTCTTCTTGTCTGCTTTATTTTGTACCTGCACATCTTCATTGGCATTGAACTTTCCTTCGATTTCTTTGCCCAGATCACCTTCTGGCAACTTTAGATCCTCACGAACTTCACCACTTTCTGTCAGCAGGGAGAGATACCCATCCTGAATACCTATCAGCTGTGAAGAGAAATTCATTTTTATAAAGTTTAACATTAGCGCTCACTAGCAGGCAGCAGCTGAAGATAAACAGAAGGCCCAGCTATCTGTTACAATCTCAGCACTAAAGAATTAGTGTAACAGTTAAAAAAAACTAATTTAAGTCAATTTAAACAACAGATTAAATCACCAGAACCCTTCTGGTCCCTTCTGGTTATTTCCTAGTATGTAGGGCACTGCAAAACTCTTTTTTGTGATTTACAAGATGTCTGCTTCCAGGTCACTGGATCAGCTTCCTACATTTGTGAATTAGAAGCAATAACTGGAACAGTGTTCCCTGAATAGCGTTCCTTTTATAAGGTGTAGCAAGTACAGAATTGTTCAACTGTAAACTTTGATACCTTCATTTTTACAGTGATATACTATTATTTATTTTACAGGCTAAGGAATAAATAAGGGAACATCCCCCAAACTCTACACCACTGTTATAACGCTGTTTTCAACCAAATTGAAAGCCTGAGCTAAAGGAACAGTCGTTTTGACAGAGCAGGTTAGGGTACCTGCAACACGTTACGGTTAATCCCAAAGGCAGCCCTAACAAGTCTGAAAACCAGCAAGAATTTCAGTAGCATTAAGGGCCCAAGAACAGGAGAGAAAGACCACCAAGACCACATGAACAACCCCTTGGAAGCTCTGAGCCCCAAGACAGGCTAGTCACGCTTTAAACGGAATCAACTGTTCCGAAGAGCTGCTCACACTCCGAGCTTTGGCTATGTTGAGCAACTGCAGCTTTCCCAGCGATCGGGATGTACCAGCTCCCGACCAGAACTACCCCACTACTCCCAAGCCAATGGGAAGATGGCTGAGACATTACAACTCAACCTGAATTAGGTCACTTTTAGGATCACGGAAAGTGTTACAGAAGCCTGTCAAATTCCCTCTGTACATATGTATTTCAGAGCAAATTATTAAAATTACTTGAGCTCAACTAAAGCCAGCTCCTGCACAAGAAGCAGAGAGCACCACAGGAAGTTAGCACTGGCATCAGATGTGGATTAAGAGTGTTTTGTTGATTCACTTGTGTAAGGGGGAAATTGTGAATGACAATATATGCTTAAATTCACGTTTATGTGAAAATCTGGTCATCCTTCAGATAGTAGTAGTACCTAATAGCAGGGGAGCATCTCTCTAAAGGATGCCAGTATCTCAAAGAATAAAAAAGTGACCTTACAACATCAGCTAGAAGAAACGCTGTTCCAAAATTATGTCTACTACCCATCATTTCTAAAGACTGCTGCATGAGGTTGGTGGTACAGGGAGCAGCTCTCCCATACAGCAAACTCCAACACTTTTAACAGTTCAGTAAACGCTACTGGTGCAGCAATGCCCCACTGAGACAGCCAAGTGTGCCAAACCATTAGTTCTCTACCTTCTGGCAACAGCACGTTATTAATTGACAGACAGATTGGAGGTGAAGATAGTTTACTCGTGGTACCGGGAGCTTTAAGCTTTGCAACGTGTGGGTAGACACAGTGACTATTAACTCACTTGGTAATCATTCCTCTTGATGTTTGGAACATCCATGTTGTGAGTTGATGGGCAAATATCTTCGTATTTCTTACCATTGAAGATATCGATACCAACCAGGTGGACCTACAAGAAAACAGAAATAAGATCAGTTACCTTTTGTCCTAGAGGAGCAAAATTCCACTGCCATCAGTACCATTTGTCCCATGCACATTTCTTTTTTTTTTTTTTAATTATTATTTTTATTTTTTAAGAGATCACAGGATACAGACGAAATCCTGCCTAGCCCCTCTGCTTGCTGTATGAGAGCAGCCCAGGCCCTGAGAGAAGGCCTCTCAGATATCCCTTCGCAACCCGCTACAGAAGATCACCCAGGGAGTTATCTTGCACAGCCACGGCCTACCCGAGTCCTACGATACAAGCCAAAGCGCAATGTGGCACAGGACTGTTAAAAGAATATTTATTTCAGGCTCCAGCTGTTCAGAGAAACAGAACAGGGACAACGTGAGGGGTAAGGAGACCAGAAGAGGCGGCCACGCACTGCGATTAAAGCAGCTCCCACTTGGATTGCTGGGTTACCGGCTACTCTCCTCAGCTCCTTTCACTTTTGCAACGGTTTCAATATCTAAGAATGCAGGAGAGCCTAATAAAACGAGCCAAAAAAGGCAAAGGGAGGGAGAGAGGGGAAAAAAAAAACGGTAAGAGCTCGGTAGCGAGAGCTCTAGCTTTTGGCTGTTAAGCAGCCTGGTTCTTTTAAAACTCCTGATGTCCACCACGCAGCCCCACAGCCACCACGCAGCCACGCTGCTGAGCAGGCCCCAGCAGCCCTCACGTCCCCGGCAGGAGGGACGCGGGAAGGGAACACGGGAAGGGAACATGCTCTGTGCTGCAGGACGGGAAGCAGCAGCGGCAGCAGCACGGCGAGACGGCAGAACGGGGCCCAGGCAGCGGCGGCTGCGTGCCTGGCGTTACGTAAGGCACCGGGGGCACCTCCCGCGGGCGAGCTGCTGGGGTCGGGCACCACGGGGCTGTGTTAGGGGAGCACAGCACGGCCCTATAAGCCCCACCACCCCGCTCACACACTCTGTGAGGGTCCTGGCATTGGGGGGGGGGGCATTAGACCCCCATGGTGCTACCCCGTCCCCAAATCTTTGCGGTGTGGGGGTGCTGGGGCCGGGCTCACCTTGGCGTGGCCGTGCTTGCCCGTCTTGGAGGTGGACATCTCGACGATCTTGCAGGGGCGCCCCTTGAGCACCACGAAGCCGTTCTTGCGCAGCGCCGAGCACTGCATGGGGTAGGTGGACGAGGCGCCGGCGTCGCCCGTGGTGAAGTCCAGCTCGTCGGCCATGGCGGCGGGCTGGGGGGGGGGGGAAAACGGGCAGGGGGCGTCAGGGGGGAGAGGGCGGGGGGGGGGGCACCGTGACCGGGACCACCACGGGGGGGGGGCAGCGCCACGTGCCCGGCGGGGCGGGGAGGCGCCACGTGCCCGCACCCCCCCGGTACCCCCCTGATACCCCCAAACCCCCCCAGAGCCCCCCTAGATCCCCTCAGAGCCCCCTCATTGCCCCCCCGTTCCCCCCTCCCGCTCCTCCCCCTCCACAACCCCAGCGCCGTTAGCCCCGGGAAGGCGATGGGGAACGCAATAGGGTCACGGGCTGAGGGTGGGGGGGTTACGGGGTGGTTATAGGGGGTTATGGGGGGGTTTTAGGGGGTTCCGGGGGGGTCCCGGGGGTGCCCGTTACCTGCGGGGGCCGCACACGCGCCCGAGCACTGCGGCGGGAAGGGCGGCGGGCAGCGCGCGCACCACGCCCCGCCCCCCCCCTCCCCAACCCCCCCCCGCTTCCGCCCCGCGCCCCGGCACTGAGGGGGCGGCGCCTCACCGCGAGGCTCCGCCCCCCCCCCCGGGTGAATCCTCGCCTCATCGCCGCCCCGGCGGCATGGCGGGGCGCTGTGGTGCTGCTGGGCGCTGCTCTGAGGGGAGGGTGGTGGTGGTGGGGTGTAAAGGGGGTTTGTTAGGGGTACATTATATTTACATAATATTAATAATTTCGGTTATCACTGTAATACACAATATTATACAGTAATACTAATAAAGGCCAAATATCACAGAATCACTGGATCCCAGACCCATTAGGGCTGGAAAAGCCCTCCAGGACCACCTGGTCCAACCACCCCCTCCCACCATCATCACCCAATGCCCTGTGTCCCCAAGCACCACGTCCAACCTCCCCTTGAACACCCCCATGGGTGGGGACGCCACCACCTCCCTCAGCAACCCGTCCCCACGCCTGGCTGCTCTTCCTGAGGAGAAATGTCCCCTCCTTTCCCACCCAAACCTTCCCTGGCTCAACATGAGGCCGTTCCCTGGGGGTGTTCATTCCTGCCGCCCTGTATCTGATCCAGTCAGCTCAGGCCGTGGCTTTTCTGGCACCATCTTCTTGCTACAGGGCTCTCGGGCAGCCCCTGGGGCACACAACGAGGTTTTAACATAGAGGAGGAACGGGTGTTCCCAAAGTCTGCTCGAGAAATGTGTTTAACAGCAGACACAAAGGTCATTTGTCAGTTCAACTTTTCTCCTTTACTGTCAGAAAATAATCAGAAACAAAAGCATTTTGCAAGTGCTGCGTAATCAGTCAGTCAAAAGGACTTGAAGCTGTCTAAGAGCAGTGATGAAAGCTTGTTTTAATTAACATAAGGCTCAGATGGCTCTCTGTAAGGTGTCCTACCCATCATCTACAGCATTAATGGCACAGCCCTCGTTAGCCTCCGACATCAATCCTGCTCTGCTGTCAGGGGAGAGACGTTCCCAAGTGCGGCAATGAACGCAGCCACACAGAGACAGATGGATCCCGAGCAAAACAAGGCCAAATGGTTATTAAAAAAAAAATTAAACACACACACACACACAAAAACAACCCTCCAAGTCATATCGTGTAATACTTTTAGCTATTTGACTAAATTCACCCAAAGACCTTTCTGTGGAGTTGCTGTTGGATGAGTGGTGAGGGCCCAGTCCTGCCTGGGGCAACACAGATACCTTACTTTAAACACCACACAAACAGAACTGTGGAAAATCCAGAAAAATGGTGAGATGTGTGTGGTAGTATTGTCAGAGCGGGTCCCTGCAGCTGGCACCGTGAGCTTGTTTGCTGCTCTGCTCTTCCTGCCACAGGATCCTGAGTTTATCCTCACTGTTCAAATGGGGCTGCAAGAGGGCTGGGTTCTAACTCCATGTTTTTAATCAGTTCGTCAGCAGTTTCTGAAGTGTTTTTTCTTTAATTGATGACAACCCGTGAATAGATCCCACTTCAATTTGTGCAGTGTGTACCCAAGCAGATAGGTGTGACTCTCATTTACCACGGGCTCTCTCCCGTTACCAGGGCGGGCAGTGGGTGCTGCCTCACACAGGCTCTGCTGATGATACACATTGCCCTGGGGAACTGCCCATTTTTCTTCTGTGTCAGTTGATAAGCAGTGTCTGAGCTTTAAGTGTTTTTACATTCACGGTGTGCGTATGCTTACCTACAAGTGTGCGACTAGTTGCACGTGCTCGAGGGCATTTTATCTTGAGATAAAATACTTTATGAGAGAACTCCCGACTCTTCTGAGCCCGTTCTGGAGCAGACTGGGGCTAAGCACTAACAATAATATATTTTCTCAGTGCTTCAGGGCATAAATTTGGTTGATTTTCTGCAATTAACAGATTCATTTTAGATGATCTGAGAGATCTTCCGTACTAAACCTAGTTTTTCTGCTGAGGTGCAACTGTAGATGATACATTTTTTTGAGACACAAAGCAAATATTCCAAGGCAGTCTTTATCAGAGATTCAGTTAAAGAAAACTGGAAATCAGATGCACCAGTCATTGCTTGCAGATATCTCTCTTTTGTTCGGACAACAGTTATTAGAAAATAAAGAGTTTCTTGATTGTACTAATGTGATTATCCCATTTTCCGTGCAACAATAGCAATTTGATTTCAAAGCGTATTTGTAAATACCATGCCTTTCATGTTTAAACATATTTCCTTTCCTTTTGTGCATGTGTGCTTAGAGCACTGCGCAGCTGGATCACATCTTTCCTTTTGAGGAGGCTCGGTGTGTTATAAATCTTCGTCTCCTCTGTCCACGTCTTTATATAAATTGCACAGCAGAAATTATCAAAGAGAGCTCGTCTCTCCAGCCACCTGCCTGGCACATCGCTGCTGCAGCCTTACTACAGCCTTACTTCTGGGAAGAATCGCTCTGGGGAACATCGAGGAGGACAGCAATGTCCTGGGACATCCAGGGGTAAAACTGCTGAGCTGTCTTACCTGGGATTGCAGACATGTCCTGGCTGCTGGGGATCAGGATTCATGTTGGCTTCTGGGGGCAGCCTGGGCTAGGAGGACAAAAAAGGGGCTGGGAACTGATGATCCTGTCCTGTAGAGGGCAATTCCAGGCTCAGCAGCCCCTCCGTGTTCCTAAATACAATCTCTCCGTGCAGCCTGAACGAGACAAAAGAGCCTCTGCAGTGACCTTGCCATAGGCATCCCGCTCTGCTCCAGGCTCGGCTTTAATCCCGTGTGCACCTTCTGCTTCCTACAAAGATCGAACCAGTGACTCAGCCCGCTTTGCATTGGCCTTGAGAACAGGATTCTGGGATGCTGGGTTCCTACAGCTATTAGGGGCTGCGGGCCGTGGGATGCTTAAAAAACTACCTGAGATGCTTAAAAACGACTGCAGCAGTGCCTCTGCCCGCCCCGTGCTCGCTCCTGACTTGTGCCTGGCTTGATCAGGCGAGGGGTGTGTGTGCAGCCGCCGGCTGAATCACCCCGGGCACACGCTGCAGATAAGAGCTGATCAGTGAGACAGTGCCAGGGACACCGAGCTGGCTGGAACCAGCTGTAACTTGCACCAGGAAGGGGGAAAAGGCGCTGCAGGTCCAGCTGTTCCCTCCTCCTGCGGCTGACGCAGCACTGCCACGGGACAGCCGACCCATGACCCCGGGAGCCCCGCTGCACTGCGCAGTCCCGAGAGCGAGTAAAGGGGGCAATGCCAGGCACTGCACAAACACCAGGTCTGTAGTTCTGCCTACAGCCTGTAAGATTTAAAACCCACGGAGTTGCAGCCAGGATTTATTGCCATCCTGCGGGGGAGGACAGTTCTCTTCCAGCGCGGCTGCTCGCTGGTGCCTCTGGGCGAAACCTGCCAGCGGTGCTTTAGTGAAACTCTCAGCGCAGCACTTAAATTAAATCCCATCTTTCCGTGTGCTGCTGGAGCCAGACCTGCTGTCCTGACTGGCAGTTCCTCAGCACCGATAGGTCTCAGTGAAAGAGAAAGACACAGAGCACCTCAGAAAATACATCAGACCCTAAAGCCTGGTGCCCTGAATACGCAGCTCCTGGTTCAGCTTCATCATCCTCAGCCCATGGGCTCAGCAGGGGGAGGGTGCCTCTGCTCGGTGGTGAAAAACAAGCTGAAGTGAGGCAGAAAAATCTGTGATAAATTAGCGTGGAAAGTGTTAATGGAGCCAAATGTCCTGAGCTTATTGGATTAGGGAAGTCAAACTAATTTTTAAATTACGCCTCGAGAGTGGGAAAGTAGATATTGTTAGCCATTTATCTGACACAACAGAAAAGTCGTAATGGCTGTCATCTTAGCACATTAGGAAAACACTGTCAAAGCTCTTGCTGACAAGATGCTTTCTTAGGGGCTATTAATTATATTGCATTATTAGCTAACTACAGGATGGGAACATACTTTGCATGTTAACTAAAGTGCAATGACCATTTAGCTAATAAGTATGACTTGGTCTTTTAAACCTTAATGATTAGCAACTTAATAAAACTGTAACAGAGATAAAAATAATGATTGAACAAGCTGTGTCATAAGAGCAAGTTTCAGCTGGAACTCACATGTAGCGAGGGTAGATAAAATGCTAATTGCAGCCTGATGGGATGAGACAGACGTAGACACGGCTGCAGAGCTAACAAACTCCTCTGACCCTTCCTGCATTGCCATGCACGGTACAAGCACAGTGTGACAGCTCAGCCTGGTGGATCAGCTTCATCCGTCCCCAGCAGCCCTGGTGAGGACAGGGATTGCCGAAGCATTTCGCAGCACCCAGCTCTGCGCACCCTCTCCCAGGCTGCTGTCTGCCCCATGGACAGCACAACCATTAGCAGAATTGATTTGAAACATCCCAGGACGAGCAAAACATCGTCTCTGGGGGGCTATACAGGTAAATGAATGAGAACAGCAAAATGCACCAAGGTGTGTTGTCCGGCTGTGGTCTGAGAAGGTGAGAGAGGATGCCCCGTGGGGGTCCCAGCCTGGAAGAAGACTCGTTTCCCTTCCTCCTGGCTGAAACTCAGCACGACCAAGCGAGGAAATGTCCTGTTAGCCTGCAGGAGGCCCAGCACACCAGCAGCAGGCCATGGAAAAGCAGCAGGGTGGGAGGAACTTGCTGGCGTGCGGTGCCTGCTAGCGCTGAGGCTCCCGTGGCAAGCTACCTGGCCTGGGCTGTAGCTCAGCCAAAAGCTTCGCAGAGTGCGGGCTGAAATGCAGACAGAAAGCCTTTTTTTTTTTTTTTTTTTTTTTACAATAGGCAAATTAGGCTCTCTGCTGGCATTCATTTAGCGATAGGCAGGAAAACGCAGCCTGCCCGGCTCAGAGCCTTGCTCCATTAATGACCCCACACTGCTGGGTTAGGAGCTCTGAATCCAACCCATCACTGAGGGGCTCCTCAGACATCAGGACAAAGCCCAGCAGAAGTGCAGCGAAGCACATTTGGTGTTTTCACACCAAACTACCTGTATGGCCGTTGTGCAGCCGTGGCTTGAGCCATTTGCCCGCTTCGGAAGGCTGCTTCTGCTTGTAGGGGCTGGCTGGCCAAGGGGGGACCAG